AGGCATATTGTGTCAATGTCAATATGTCTGGAGCTGCTTTTTTCTTTTTTGTACTCCATGTGACTGTTGTATCAGTCTTTGCCATCGTACCTGTTTTTTTGTTTGTTTTTAAGACATATTTGATTGACAAAGTGTTTGCCAATGAAGTTGAAGGTTTTGCTCAGACACTGGTTTATATTTGCAGCACACATGCCACCTGCAGGCCACTTCAAGAGGGTGATCAAATTCAAGTGCTTCCATCATTTGTTTCAATGTGAACTTCTGGATTAAGTTCAATGAGTGCAATTTATTTCTTATAAAATATGCTGATTACAAATAATATTTGTAAATCTGATTTGTATTTATGTAAATATTCTTAAGTATGATTAATTATTAGTTTAACATGGGGTTTTCCTCATAAGAAGGTTTTCAAAATATGAAAAGGGCCTGGAGAAGCATACACTCTTTGTCACTTGTTCAAATGCAGATGTCTCACTAGGTTGACCGGTGAAAGGTCAGTCTGCATGAAGATGGCCAACATGAGAGGAAACACGTTTAACCCGGATGAGGAGTCTGTTGTGCACCATAACCGACAACAAGCAGATGAATTTAAATGGTAAGTGTAGTTTGGATCTTTATTTTTATCTTATTTGTTGTAAGTGGCAGTGGCTGTGAAAGATACAATAATATATACTGGGATTTTTTTGTAATATAGTGAACGAAAGCACATCGTCTGATTTACTAAGCACTGAAGGTTTCAGGCTTATTTTGTCATGCATTTGCACATTAAACAGCGATTGGCTTTCAAATTTGTGACGTGCCAAATTTAGTTTGCCTGGGCTTAATTTGAATCTCAGATTTTAGGTTAGTGAAGACATTTCTCACTTCAGTAAAGGAATTTAAAATCCTCAATTTAGTGACAAACTTTACAAAGCTACTATCAGTATTGGCCAGATTAAACATTTTAGGTGACATAACCAAAGTCAATACACATTTTTGAGTGGAGTGCTTCTTCAAAAATCATGTTCTACGTGGATATATTTTATACTTGGGAGGGGTGTGGTGCAGTGGGCTAGTGCGTTGGTGTTCGGATCAGGGGGTCACAGGTTCAAACCCCACTGCAGTCAGCATGTCGTTGTGTCCCTGGGCAAGACACTTCACCCCAAATTGCTCCTGTGGGGATTGCCCACAGTATTGAGTATGTAAGTCGCTTTGGATAAAAGCGTCTAACAAGTGACATGTAATGTAATACTTGATAGTTCTCTCTGTAAAAAAAAAAAAACTTCTTGTCAGAATTGTATCCACATTTCAAAGAAAAGTATAAACCGTTTTATTTTGACCAAATGCGTGTTTGTTTGTTTGTTGTTAGTTATGGTGATTCCTCTCAACAGGAGTGCATATCTCACTGCAGGGCTTCCTCCCTTTCTCCTTTGGGGGTCTTCCTTGCTCACAGCGAGTTCCTTCATGGCGAATTGATAACTCATAAGAAATAATCTGTCAAATGGATTTGTACCCTGTGTCTGCCATTTATAAATTAATGTATTATTAAACTAATCAATGTATTCATTATTAATTTGATATTTTTTACCGATGCTCTGTTACATTGCTTTTAAGTGATTTGTGCTTCTGATGGTTAGAGATGCACAACAACTGAGCACATAGTGAGCGAGCTGAAAAATGAGTCTAATGGGTCCTCCACAAATTCACATCTACTTACATATTGCCTGCTCTAAAAAGGGCACTTTATATTTAAATTAAATGCGGTGCAGTCATAACATCTTCCCAACCATCACTCAGTCAACAGTGCTCATAACCAGCTTTCTGATTTCTGTATTTCTGCCGTTTTTTGGTATCTAATGTAAAGGAAACGTCATCTTCTAGTGTTGAAATGAAAACAGTTTGTTGCTAATGATACTTTAAGAAAAATAAATGTCCCCAGTTTTTTCATATTTTAAATCACGTATTGCTTCCATATACCTCACAGTACTTCATTCACACTTAAAAAACTACCCCCAACGTTGTATGTCTCATACTGCCAATGATTAGAATATGATTGTTTTTCATGCCGGTCCATTGTTGAATCATGTATTCTGTGATGTAGGTATTTTAGTCCGAAGGCTATAAATAAAATGAATCACTGCATACAATAGATTTATGTGTGCAGATGTATCTTCTATCCGTTTTTCCATGTAGAGTGAGGGTCATCCTGCATTTAACAGAATATAAATATATATTTTAATGAAATATTAAAGGAACAATATAGGTCACTATCATTTCCCTTTTTGGTAACTGCCCTTTGGATGTGACAGATCAGGCTGTTTTGATAGAGTGATTGAATGTATTGATTTTGGATTTGTCTGAGTCTCTACATCTAAAAGAATCATAATTGTTCTGCTTGTTTTATACACCTAAAAAACTGAAACGTTGACTTTAATTAAATGTATTATGTCAACACATTTCACATAACTGTATTAGGTTAGTTGAAAGCAATAATATTAATTTGAACCTATTTAAACTTCATATTATTGCTTTCAACTAACCTGATACAGTTATGTGAAATCTGTTAACATCAAAACATGTAATTAAAGTAATCATTTTAGCGAGGGGGGGGGGGATTGGGGTGGGCTGAGGTTCGGTCCCCTGTTCAGCTGTGCTCTCTTCTGTCCTCACACCACATCTCCTCGTGCTTCACAGCGCTATGTGTGTGTGTAGGATGGTGGTGGAAGGAAGGGGGCGAGTTGAAATAACACTGCTCAGCCGTCTGTGCATGGTTGCGATGGAGTCCGTTGGGGGTTTCTATGGCAACCCACAGCCTTGGAAACCCACCATCTTCGTCCAGATGAGGTGATGATGCGCTTGTTTGTCTCTGCCAAGTGTGTAGCTTGCATTTCTGTGAACCAGTCTGCTTAGTTTGTTAGTTTCCAAGCGACGGAGTGAAGCAAATAAATGACTCTATCATACGTTAGAAAAATCGCTTCTGAGCAACTGAAGAGAAAGACGATTTACTCACCTCTTCAGGGTACATTTTTAAACCTAACGAAGCATATATTTTAAAACGTCTATGATGTGGCTATTTTGTGTAGGAGCTGGCCTTACAGGGATTGCACATTTGAACCTAAGTACATTTGTTCATGAACATTTGTCTGGAAACCTCCAGAACCAATTTCAAAGAGCACTGTTTCAGGAGGTTTTATCTCCTCCACTATTTCATCCCCTCCCTTTTCCTTCCCATGTATAATTCATTGCCTTTATATTTTTGGAACTCTGGATGACAATGTAGGTCTGTCGTGAAGTTCAAAGAGGTTCAACATGACTCACATTTAACAGAGCTTAGTGCCTCTGTGAGATGACATCAAGGATAGACAACATGTCAGAGAGCCTTCTGTGAATCATGTTAGCAGGCCACTGATTTGTGTTCATCAAAATCCTGATAAATAAATCCACTCATTTGCTGCCTCTTGCTTTTGGGTGTCGAGTAACTTCGTAAAACATTTTTAAAATGTTCTATTCATGATTCTCTGCCGGTTTCTAACGCTGTCAGGTTGAGAAGATGCAGCCAGCCAAAAGAGATAAAAAGGTAGTAAAGAAGTCTTCTAAATAAACATGTAATGTCCCAAACAATTCCTTTCTTAATTTGATACTTGAAAATGTAACACTTGTTTTGTTTTTTTTATTGTAAGAAATGTTCCATCGCACATACAATGAGTTCGGCATCTGCTAAGAAAAGGAGGGATGCTTTAATTATATTTGACCCTTTGAGATAATTGCACACTTCTACATCCAGCAACCGAGGCTGAGTGGTCTTTAAATGCCAGGGGTCTATTTACCGGGAATTATCGGAGAAACCGCTCATGTATGGGAGATCATTAAAGTCAATTTAGAGCTCATTTAAGGTGCAACTATTGAACTTGAGGAGTCACTACAGACGATTTATTAGAATTAAAAATGGGGCGATAATTCAAATGAAGTGTTATAATGACAAGTAAGAATTATTTATGTTTTATAGCAACTGTGCGTGGATGATAAATGTTTATCCTGATTTCTGTTTTCAGCCTGAAAGCACAACCAGAAAGCAGCTGATGAGGATCTTTCTGAACAGAGGAGCAACACTAAATACAGGTACCGTTGTTTCAAATCTCATCAATGATAATTAAACACTTTTCTTTAAACTTTACATCATTTTTAGGTACTGTATATCTTCCAACTTATCACATTTCTACCAGAAAATGTTCTGATAAAATGTCCTCTGTAGACTACTAGTTTTATCCTTTTTTGTAAATAATTGCTCATTTAAACCAGAGAAAAATAATTATGTGTTGAACTTTTAACATGACTATTATTTTGACTCAGTATTTAGATATTCTAGAAATACTAGAAAAAGAAAAAAAGCTAACAAAATTGTCCTTAGGTAGGAGTGAAAATTAAATGTAACTGTCAACTAAAATTGCATCTATTTTAGTTAACCCTCTCAAAACTCTTCTCAAAGGGATAAACACAAGATGTTCCATGGAAGAGATTAACAGAATTTCATTGCTTAATATGTATTCAGACCAGCCCAGTCTTTGGTCTTTGACAGGATCAGATAAAGATTTCTCCAACTATTTCTGAGCTGACCTCCAACTAGCCACAGCCTTACAGCCTCTGACAGCCAGCCACCAGGAATACCTTGAAAGACTCTTACAAATAAATCCATTAGGGAGTTAGAGTATCTATTTTAGTCCCCTTTCCATGTTAAATCGAATACTATAAACCCAAGGTGGTGACATGTTAATCCACTGCTAAAAAATACCTCTGGGTAGGCCCTGATCTGATGTGTGTGTACTAGGCTTTGCAGTGTTGACAATCTTCACTCATCTGCAACCATCAACTTTAATTTAAAACATGCCTACACATGATAAATGTGTGACATTCAATGCATGCATGTGTACAAAAGCTGCTTTGGCTGCAATAGTTCATCCAACTACAAGCACGTTTTTAAGTTTTTTCAAATTTTATTATAATAAATATACTTATGTATGTACATTATCTGACACCAAAGTCTGTAGGTTGTGAAAAACCCTTCTATTCACATGTTGCAATGCATACATTCAAGACTGTTTGCAAGAAAACCCTGAAAAAGAACATGGACAGGCTTACAGTGAACAGGTGCATTATTAAAAGACTGTGGATCCCTCTTGTACTTACGTTTCATGAAGCACATTGTGATTTGATGCAATGAAGTAAGATGCAGGCCTACTAAAAACCTTGCTGTACAGAATTGATGAAGTATTAAAACTGTGCTTAAGGGTGTGGAACAGTGCAGATTTGATCCAACCGGAATACTGGCTCTATTAGTTTCTATACATCATGACCCTTCTCTGACTACATGCCCCCTGACTTTGGATTGAAATGATACATTTAAAGCATCAATCTGCAGAACATTAAGGGGAATACATAACAGTAGGCTACATTTACGCTTGAGCTTTCCTACTAATCCACTTGGATTACGTGTTGTATGCATCAAACTGATGGCCAGACACTGTCACGTAACTTCATGACTTTTTTTTCTCCAAAAATACACAACCTCTTGGCCCCTTAAAAATACTTAACCTGAAATGGTGCCCATGGTCCATTGTGTTGTTCTACATTTTATATCTAGTGCAACTCCTTAACTCCACCGAATAGCCTACATTCACAAATCCGATAAAGATGAGTAATTTCGCGTGTCCACAATTGTCCAGCTCCTCAAAAAAAGGTCGTTCTCTCTCTTGTGGAGCGCATGGTGTCCATAAGTGGGTTGTTTGTTAGACACTTCAGGACATGTTGACGACCAGATATCCTAAAATCCCAGCGGACGCAAGGATGACAAAGAATACAAACACAGCGCAGACCGAGGCAATGCCAGAGTCTCTGCTGCCGCCTCCTTCCTCTTCTTTCGGCTCCTCTTCGCAGATGGAGATGACACCCACGGAGGAATTTCCTACACTCATGTTTGACTTGAGCTCCGCGCCCGCCTCCTGCTTCGCCTCCACGGCCCACGGCGCCACCTGCACCTTCATCTCCATCTCCTCCATCATCTGGCTCACCTGGGTGATCTCGGTCTGCAGCTCCCGGAGGTCCACCGTGTCGATGTTGCTGTCCGCCTCGTACTTCATGTTCTGCACGCTCATGGCCCGGGCCGCCACGGTGGTGGTGCTGCCGGTCATCCCGGTTTGGATGAAGTGCCTCGTCGGCACCTTGATGGGGAAATCCTGCCCTATCTCTAGGGACCTTTTCATGTCCACCTCCAGGAGCTCCATGCTGCTCGAGAACAGCACCCATAGGCGCTCGTACTCGGCCCGGTCCTCTTTGCTGATGGACTTGTCTTTGAGCAGGGAAGTCAGTTTAGTCCTGTTGGCCGCGGCCAGCTCCTGGGCCTTTTTGCGGGTCTTCTTCAGCTCCTCTCGCAGGTTCTGCGAGTCCGAAGTGCTTCCCAGGGCGATGACCAAGTGCCTGTAGCAGGCGGTCACTTTGTTTAAAGCGTCCAGCATTGTTTTGCACTCATCTTTCCCCATGATGACGAATTAAATAAAAAGTCTATATGCCAGAAATAGGAAATAATAAACAAAAGGAGCCTGGAGATAAATGGCGAGCAGTTAGTGACGGAGCTTCCTCCGCTGTCCTTAGTTTAGTTTCCACAGGAGCAAAACCCCAGCTCTACAAATCCCCTCAGCGCACTAGTCATAGCAAATTCCTCTCTATCCATGCTCCTTCCTGTCTGCAAGCAGGCACAGAGAGCGGCTTAGATATTAATGCGTCCGTAAATGGCTTTAGGCGTCTACCTTTGCGCTTCCCCACTCGAGATCAGACGGCACAGGAGCACCTCTCCTGCAGGGCGGATGCTGAATGGATGTGAAACAATCCAACCTCACTTTTTAGGGGATGAGATTCAGCTACAGGTGTCCCAACATCCGCTTTTTCTGCCGTTTGAGGATCGCTTTACTCGTCAGCAGCTTAAAATAAAATAGCTTAATGTTTAAAGAGGATGCGCAGCTGGGGAAATGGAGATCTTCACTGAGAGATAAAGAGAGAAAAAGGCTTCAAAGCGTCCATAACGAAGAGCCAAAAAGAGCCATTGTGTTTTTGCTTTGTTTATCTGAATGGGGAGCTGTCCGCTTCAGCACCCAATCGTTGATGTTTGGAGTAGGCTAAGCGCCTTCTGAGGTCACATGTGCGCACGAAACAGAACCATGCAGGCAGGGAAACAAAGCAGCTGCGCTCCCATTGGTTTGATCACACAGGCGTCTGCCTTTTAAGTCATCCTGTCATTGGCTGCTGTGTTCCCAATGTGGGCAGTGCTGTGATGTCTATCAGCTGATATGTCAAATCACAAAGCCCTACAACATATCCTCCACTCTCTGCCATTTGTCATCAGGATCCTTCATCTGTTGTTATCTGTCGGAGTCAAGTGCACAAATAGCTGTGTGACTAAACATATTTTCAGCATTCTTTATATTTTACCTTACCAGTACTAGAAAAACAAATATGTTCAACACTTTTCCTGGTTGATCGGTTGAACCACCTGCTTTGTAAATATATTACATTTACAGTAGAGAATGGATATAACTGTGTGACATCACATATTGATTTCTTCTCTTCCTTGCCTCACTGTCAATTAGCCAGACTTGCCTGCACACGGTTTCTGGTCAGGAAGGATCCCAGTTGTTGCACACCCACTGTTGGTTGGCTAATCATGTGTTGTTTACCTTCTTGGTAGATGCTGTGTTGAGAGGTGAGAGGCAGATAAGGCTGTGCGCTGTTTGCCTGGTTTGCTCTTTTTGCATTATTGAGGTGGATGGGGCCTAATTATCCACTGACTGCAGTGTAAAGCTAATGAACTGATCTGCAGAAGATGCATCAGAGATCTCAGGGAAATTCTCATTGTTGGCTTCATTGTGGAATACGGATTTTTTTCATTTATTAGTATAGTTCGAAATAAATATACATATTGCCCATATTAGTTTTCATTGAAACTGTGAGGGAATATTTATCCTGAAGATACCTTTTAACCTGCCCTAATAACGACATTTATTTTTGGTTGCGACTACATCATTGAATCTACACATGTAAATTATCTACAAAATCTTAAACATCCAACCTTTGTTAACCTTTGCATCTTACAGTTTACCTCTCCACATACAGAGACACAGTGTTTTGTAAATAAATAAGACCTACAGTATGTCCCAATAGGATAGAAAATTCCTTCACATACACATTATGCATATCCCTCAAATCTGCACCTATATCTCCCCCTAAGATTAATACAGTCTCTCTCTGTGCCTCTGCTTTATTTCTATGATATTGTTGGATATGTGAACTGCGGTATAGCCAAGCCAGTGTCTGACTAATTACAAATATCTCCGCTGAATCTGATGTTTTGTTAAGATCTTGGTTGATGGAACCTTTTTGAATATGTTTCCATGGCAACCTCTCACCTCCTGGCAAGCACTCTTCAGTATTTTTCCAAGGTATTCAATTACTGCCAGTAAATTGTCGACAGTCATTGTATCTCACGTTGCATCTAGAGATACATTTTCTAAACTGAGATTCATAAACAACAGTTGGATTAATTGTAGAACTTTAAGACGTGTTTTGAGGGTTTGAAAATGATATGATCCAACTTTGTATTTCATTAGACCGACATAGGCCTGTCTGTCTGTCTGTCTGTCTGTCTGTCTGTCTGTCTGTCTTTGTTGCTATAATAAGATTTCTGATAAGATGCTCTGTTAAATTCAAGTGTCAGGATGAGTCACACATGCTGTGGTGTGATTGCTCTCAGACTGAACTCATCATGGAAACTCAAAGTGATTTCCTGTGCGGAGGCTCTCAGCGGTTATCAGTTACACAGAGAAGAGTAACAAGATATCAAGTTGCTCCAGTTATTAATGCATTTTACAGCGATGAATGCATTACTGTGACTTTTAAAACGAACATTTGCTTCTAACTTCTACTAACATTTGTCTTGTGGATTTGTATCCTATTTTGTAAGAACAAGTTTGTCTTGACTAAGAATTCCATGCACACTCCAATATTAGTAAGATTTTGCATTTTTATGACATATATTTATATAAACATTTATTTATTCTCTCAATGTTTGACTTTGTATGGTTGTGACCTAAAGGCAAAAGATTGCTTAGCTAAAAGTAAGTAAATGAACATTAATCCTGTATTACATTTTAAACAATAGTAATGGGTATAGTACAGAGCAAAGGTAGCAGTTAAACAGACCAGGAAAAATATAATTTAAAATTAGATGTGATTTTAATCAAAAGTGAAAATGTGTTTATCCTGGGATGCACAGTAATATTATCTGTTGGTAAATATGGATGGTCTTATAGAGGATTTCAAAATTGGATGTAGAGGTCATGGACACAGTGCATGCTGTTGGGTGACAAACTCCATGGTCATGCCAGCTTTTTATGTAAATGAAATCCCCTTTGTCATCACATTACTGTGATATTTGAAAACAGTGCCAGATGTGTTTATGTACTACACTTGTTTGCTTTGGAATGTGTGATTTTTTTTTTTAATTCAACTCTCAGAGCAGATCTTAAACTCAAATCTGCATAAACCAATTCTGTCAAAATAGGTTTTTCATAACAAAATTGTGCAAAATGTATACAACTCGCATTAAAAAAGAAATCCAACTGACCTGAAACAAAGAAAATATAGTATCCTTTGCTAAAAATCTTGTGTCAATACCAAATGTCTGGAGTTATTATGAAAGATGAGCATAAACAACCCCGGGTTCAAGAGGTTAATATGTGTCAAATCAAATCAAATCAAATCAGGTTTTATTTATATAGCACATTTAAAAGCGATTTTTGGTCGAGCCAAAGTGCTGTACATGTAATAAAAACACATTACTACAATCACAATAAACGACAATAAATTACTAAATATATCTAAAAAACAAAATAAAAATAAAAACACACGGAAAAGTCAGGAGTTGTGCTCCGCTCTAACTAGAAAGCCAGAGAGAAGAAGTGTGTTTTTAGTTTAGATTTAAAAACCCCTAGGGTCTGGGCCGACCTCACATGGAGGGGCAGAGTGTTCCAGAGCCTAGGGCCAGCTGCTGCGAAGGCTCGGTGCCCTCGGGTTTTAAGCCTGGTCTTGGGCACTACCAGCAGCAGCTGGTCAGCAGACCTTAAAGCTCTGGCTGGGGTGTAGCGCTGGAGCAGTTCAGCTATATAGGCCGGAGCCAGCCCATTTAGTGCTTTAAAAACAAATAAAAGGATTTTAAAATCAATTCGGAACCGAACTGGAAGCCAGTGTAGTGAGGCCAGAATAGGGGTGATGTGGTCACGCTTTTTGTGGCCAGTCAGCAAACGTGCAGCAGCGTTTTGGACTAGCTGTAGGCGTTTAATTGAGGCCTGGTCCATACCCACATACAGAGCGTTGCAATAGTCCAGTCTCGAGGTTACAAAGGCGTTAATAACCCTTTCTAAGTCATTAAAAGATCAATACGACTTGGTTTTGGCCAAGTGTGGTCAAATAATGCTACAAAATGATGCTGTAATCTAGATTATCAGGTTCCTAAAGGACCTGGGATTAGCAATATAATGCCCTCTAATGCATCTTTTAGTGGAAGCTGTCATCTGTCCCTCAAGCATTTTCATCATATGGAATCAATGGTTTAGGCAAGAAATGGAGCCTGTTGGCACTCTATTCAATTCATGTCAGATGATGTTCAATAAGTGACACGCATATAGATGTTTTTCTCTCAAAGTGCATAATATCTTGCGCAAACACATTAGAAAACTCTTTATAACCTCTTTCAGCTTTCTTGATAATCCCTGTAAAGCTCATGCATTGATATTTAAGTATACTTCTTAGAAATGGCCCACACTAACATTTTATTGGCATACGAACTCACCATTATGTGCTGCTTCCCTTAATGTATAAACACAACCGTTTTCTTATTTAATGTAAGATTTATCCAATTTGTCTAAACGTGTGTTTTTTGGTGTGTAAAAATGTTTAGCACTCAAAGTAAAAGGATAAACTCAGAGGTAACGAATAACTCCTGACAGAAAGGCCTCAGTCAGTGAAGTACACACCTTCTTGCTGTGAGGTAGTAGTTTACTACTAACCACTATATCAATGTGTGGTCAAAATATCATCTGCTGAAAGCCTGTAAAACACAGCTCTTTTGACACCTCCAAGTTTGACATCTTACAGCGAGTGTCTGGAAGAGGATTAGCACTGTGTAGACTTAACGTGACATGATCACGAAAAGCCGTTATGTCTTGTTACTAGAGTAAAAAAAGATTGCTCTGGCCTCAGATTTAAATTTGGAAGCATGTTGTCTGCTTGTTTTAAGTGGTTTGGGATGGCTGGATTAACAGCCAGGCAGGCGGATGAGAGAGGGCCCAGAGATGGAGGCTGTTTGTGGAAGTATGAGGTGGATTCAGTCAGATAGAAACAGAGGCACCGAGGGGAGAGAGGGGGCGAGTGAAAACCAGAGAAAAAGGAAGTCTATCTTTGTTGAATTATTGATGGACATCATCCACTATGTGGTCTC